GTGAAATAACTCCAACAAGTGTGGAGATTAGAGGAGTCGTGCTTTGATTCGTTACATCTTATTGAATGACTGACACAGTTTTCTAGTCTGCAAACTCATTCATATCCAGGGCTTCATATTATGCACAAAGCTGTGTGTATGTCTGTGTGTGTGTGTGTGTGCGTGCAACTGGCTGTTTGCATGTGTTACATGAGCCTGAGTGTGTGATGAAATCAGGTGCAGAAAAGGGGTAATGGCTTTTACTCTTCATTAATGCTGCTTGTTTGTGAGACTGACTCAGATTTCCCAAGGTGAACCATTCTTATCACCGTAGCATCCCACTAAAGATGGCAACTCAAAGCCAGAGTGATTAATATGTACCCTCTGTTTTAAAAGGATAGTTCTGATTAATTGTCTTTAAGGTACAATGCTGCATATTGGCTGTTTGTTTTGATAAACGGAGTGTCATTTGAATAAAATATTTTCTTCAATTTCCAAGCCGGAGCTCTACATTTTGTAAGACCCCAAGTTTGGGCTGTGAGAAGCAGATAAGATTATCGCTGGTCCATTGACAGCTTTTGTGTTGTTTCCATAACAGATTGTTGCCTGGAAGCTGATGACCTGAGACCTGAATGAAACAATAAATTATTAAAAGCCTACCTGTGCTTGTCATAGTAATAAATCAAATCTAGCTATCCTGAATATCATCTGTCACACCCTTTCTCTGTGTGTTAAGTGTGTATCGTGAGTGTGTAAGTTTACACATCAGATGCATGGGTTACTTTTTTATTAGTCCATACTTGTGGTGAATTTATTGTTATATGATTATATATTTTTTCATTTTATTTATATCACAAGCTTCAGGGTTTTAATGTTATGAAAATGTCTTATTCTTGTTTTATTGAGTCAGTTCTCACTTTTTCCTTTGTCTGTTGATATGGTCTATTTACCCTAAAGGATAAGGTTGATCATTTTCTTTGGGGCAACATAGTCCAGTCTGGGGTTTTGTAATAAAATACAGTGCCACCCAGTGCAATGTGTTTAATCTTTTTTTTTTTATCCACAATGGAGATACTTGTTCGATACCTGTGCGATACACAGATGAACAAGGTAATCCAGAACTGACAGCTGACAGACCATGAGTAAAGGCAAATCATTGTCAGTTTTAGTCTCTGTATGGGGATTGCTAAAATTACTACAACTTTACATGATCTTATGCCCCTGTATGAAGATAAATCCTTGAAGAAGGCTTGTTCGGTTTTGGCTGATCATAGCCATCCCTTGTTCAAGGAGTTTGTGTTCCTTCTGTCTATCTTGCTGCAAAACAACAAACTAAGTTATTCCTCCTGCTATATGTTTTCTAAACAGCTAAATTTTTTATCTTAAATTTTGATCTGAAGTTGCATGTTGCATGCTTGGATTGTTTGTTGTCTTTTAACTGCTGGCTGTGCAGCATCTTGGCCCTCGGGGATAATAGAAGTTACCTTGACTTTGACCTATACAGGACAGAAAACATACAAAATATATATAAAACCACTGTGGCTGACTATCCACTGAGATATATAGGCACCAAAACCCTAATTCCAATACCTGAAGTAGCAGGGGACTGAACGGACTCAGCCATGTGTTCCTACGGGTCCTGTCCTCTTAAACAATTCCCACACATTCTCTATTCCCAACAGTGGATGTGTTTTGTTCTGTACAATTGCATGTGGCTGTGTCATTGTAAGCGCATGCAGAGAATTATGCCAGTTTGTTGTGAATATGATGTCAGTGCAGGCCGTCTGCTCCCATTTAAGATGACAGCGGCACATTGTCTCTGAGGATTCATTTAGTAAAAGAAACTGAAATGTGGTCACATGCATAGTGAGGGCAGTTGCTGCCTCAGCTTGCACGGTGAGTTAAGTGGCACTTCTCTGAACCCCATTTGGAGTTGCTCTTGATCAAAGGCATGACACTCAGCACCCACAAGTCTACGAGGGCATGAACCAACCAGCACAATGGAAAAATCTGAGGGCCATTAATTCTACCCAATTTACCTTTCGTTTGGGTTTCATTTGGCCCCTCTATAAATTCAGAGGCAGCCAGCAAGAGCAAATGAAAGAATCCTTGTTAGGCGATCATTACTCTGCTAATTGCTTTAGCAATGTGCCATGCACTTAAAGTCAAGGTCGGGGGAGGGAACCAAGATGTGGGGGAGCTCAAATTTGGATGCTCTATTGGAGGAGGGGAAGTCATTTTGGTACTGAGTGTGGGCTGCGGTCAAGGAAGTTAAGAGGTCAGAGATGAAAGAAATAGTGTAATTATGGTGGTAACTACCAACCTTAGAATCCAATTGATGGAAGATAGCACCGATGATGCATTCAAAGATGAGGCATTGTGCAGCCTGCAGTCCTGCAAAGGTCAAAGGTATTATAGCATGTTTTATGCATGTGGAGCTTAAATCAAGATGGCTCACTCTCACTGCCATCTTGATCTCTTTGTCACAGTGACCAAGCATGGCACAACTTTGTATTTTCAGACATTAGTTCTGATCTCTTCACTCTTGTTCGGTTTTTACATACAGTATATTCTGCTGACCTACAAACTTACTTTTCCTGTCCTTGGCTTGAGAAGACTTGTATTTGCCACGTGTGTGATGGTAACTCTGACCAATCCTGTGTCCTCTGCAGAGAGAAGTTGGAATTGAGCTGGATAACCGTCTGGATGAACGTGGCTACTGCTGCCAGTACTGTCGCCAGGGTTACCGCTACTGCCGCCGCTACTATGAGCCCCTGGGTGGCTTCAACCCATGGCCATATTACTACCAAGGTGGCCGGGTCATCTGTCAAATTGTCATGCCATGCAACTGGTGGATTGCCCGTATGCTGGGGAGGGTCTGAGCTGTCTGGGACTTAGGATGTTTATGATGCTGCAGGTGCAAAATCTTGCACACAACTATTATACAGTTTGAAAGGTGGCCCACTAAGTATCAGTCACTCTGAACAGTCTAAATGACATTTGAAGTGCCTTTTTGATTTCTTAAAAGACAATGGTTGCTTATAGTTGTTTAATTTTCTTTCCTTTAGTTTGGAAGATGTCACCAGACAAATAATCTGCTCAAAAATACTTCAACACTGCATGTTCTTAGTTTTTAATGCAGCCATTTTTTATTTTATAAGTCCAAAAAAGTTGTTCTACATATAAAAAATGTACATACAATGTGACAAAATCCAGTATATAACAATCTAAATATATATATTTTTTCTCTGGTTTTGTTCTTCTTTTTTTTTTTTTTTACTGCTTATATAACTAGGAGATAAAATACCTCCCCATACCCACAACAAGCTCTCTAAAAAGTTAAGCCAACATTATCAGTGATGCTATAAACAAACATAGTAATAACAATATGCCGGTACAAAACCAAAAGAAGCTGATGAAGACCAAGCCTTTGAGAGTTTTCTGAATGGCTCTGTGTATTATAACAATTCTCTTCTCTGTTTCTCCATCTGGCATCATGTTAAACTAAGGAGGTACATTATAAATAAAGATGCAAAGAACTCAGCTCTCTCTCTTGTGACGTATTTACTGTTGTGTTATCCTTCATTGCTTTCATTGTTGTTTAAATCCATTGAATGCTTTAAATAGTGCCAGAGTTAAAATTTTCTTCTTTGAGAGATTTAAATCTGTCACACCACACCTCAATCTGTTGAGCTTAAATAACTCTCATCTGCATCCAACAGATAGGAAAGCAAGATAGGCATTTATAATTGATGTTCTGTCGTCAGAATAACGAGGTACGAATATGCCCAAGAGTAGTCAAGCTATGTGAGATAGTCATGAGTTAAAAGGAAACAATCGAGCATTCTTGTTGTCATAGTTTCATTGTGTTTCTCTTAACTGATCTTTTGCAATTAAAATTTCATTTTAATGAATATTCTCACTCGTCCTGTGAAACGACGTGATTTGTTTGAAAGAAACTAATTCCCCGGGTGATTATATGAAAGCTGATGTTGTGTAGGCTCGAGTCTGTCTCATGCAATCCATAGAAAAGACAGCTCTTCTTCTTCCTTCTCCATTAGTCCCATTGCTTATTAGTGGAAATACTATTATTAGCATCAAATTAAAAGTCTAGACAAGAAAAACAAACAAACATACGATATATGCTTTTATTATTTCCATTTTATAGCCTGATGCATAATAATGTTGTTTACAGTGAAATAAAATACTTTGCCTGCTAAGTAACTCTGGATGTTGACTTGTGTTGGCTCGGTGTGGTAATAATGTCAGTAATATCAATAATATTTGGCAGTGAAATGAATTTAGTGAAAAAGAGGGTGAAGCATATTACTGTATGTAAATGCTTTATGGATATGCTTATAAATGGAGTTCAGACTGCAACCGAATTATTTTTAAATCAATAATGTCAATGGCCCAAAGCAACATGTCAAGTAAAAAATAGTGGCATGAGTTAACAAATGCAATAATTGCAAACATACTTCAAATAAACTGACAAGTGTACTGCAAAGCCCCTGAGGAGGTTCAGAAAAGTTCATAAAATCAGTGTTTGTATAATTTATTTCTCATTATTTCCCACTTATCGCATCAAATAGTAGTTTTTATTAAAAAAGATGCACTCAGCTTGCTGTGCTGGCATTGCTGCTGTTATTGTAGAGCCTTTCAGTCACAATTTTGGGAAATAGTGTAAAGTGTTATTTTTTGTAAGACACTGCTGGCTGTTAGTTGTCTATCTGGCAAGGTCTCAGAGGACTCTGAGGACTCTTTTGTGTAGTCGTGAGAGTAAATTGCCATGGAAGCCCTGAGAGTCATTCTGAATGGGATGGCTCACCCTGACTGGAGAGGCTGATACAGATTACAGCCGGCTCCCTGAGAGCTCCTCGTGCCTGTTGGGACAGAAGTCCAGCATTTACCATGAAAGTCAAAGTTCAAAAGTACAGACATCTCACATTTAAAAATCACGGAGGAGACCGAAAAAGATGCTTGATGGTGGCGATACTGCAGCTGGATTACCATCCAGCTGTTGCATGCTAAAAAGTACACAAAATCTGCAAATCTCAGGAGGTCACTGAAGGTATCTTGGTTATCTAGGTTGACTCTAACATACAACCATTTCTGAAGCTGTTTACATTCACTGTACGTGGGTTTCTTGTCAAATGTACAGTTTCTCATTATGTAAATAACGTTTTGCTCATTTAAAAGGATATTTAGTGACTGAATTGAAAGACTGCTAAAGAATATGTAGAGAGAAAAGGAAAATAAGACCATGTCTGTGAATATTTTCTTCTAAATATTAAAAAAGCTGAACTACTCAATATCAAATGATCTTTGATTATTAATGTATGGCTTTTTAAAACCCACACATCCATATAAATGGGGCATCATTTGCATTTCTATCATGTATAAAGTGGTTCAGTACTGTCTACATTAGACATGAGGCTGTGACAGTGAACTCCTTTCTCATAGAGTAAAATAATATATCAGCTCAAATGAAGCCCTTCACAATTTTATGCTATACACCGACAAGGAAACCCCTCTACAGCACTTGTTTAGAGCTGTTTTGATGAGGAAACAACACTGACAATGTCAAGATGGTGAGCATCTACCATGTTAGCAGTTCAAAGAACTGCCTGGCCTGATGAATGGCCTCTATTGTTAAAGCTCACTAGTGAATTTATTCCTTTTGTTACCTGTCAAAAATGCAGGGAAACTTCACTCTTCTTAAATCCATTCAAATAATCCCTTGTTTGTTTGGATCCATGTGTTGTTATTCTGGGGGAGAGGAGAGTGAAAACAAGTGTATGAGGACTGTCTGTGTTTAGATTAGTGACCTGAAGGAATAGTTCTGTCCAATCCAGACTGGAGGCTTGAGCTCGGCTGAAGACACATGCATTGCCAGTGCCATCTTGTGTGGAGAGAGGTGTATTGCTGCAATGTTAAACCAGATGTTTCACCATTTAAATTGTTTTTCTTTATATTTTAAAACCATCTTACATGTGCTGTCCTGAAAAACCGTTAATCTTGCTTCTTTGAGAAAACCCTCCATTTTAAAGTGGTCTATTTAAATCTAACCTTGGCTGCTGATTGTCAGGTTAATAGACTGTATACTGTTGCAGCCATGAGACTGCAGTCAACAACTCCCTTTCTGTGTAATGTTGCAGTCAGTCTGGTGACCTGATGGTTAAATAAGCTCTCCCTGTACTGTTCCTGCTACAGGCTGGAGGCACAATAATGTCAGCCGTCATCCTTCAACTGCTCCCTCTGTGAGAGGCAGCATGGCACAGCAGTAAACACTCGCACTGTGTCAGTGGCTGCAGGCGACACAGAAATAGTCCTCCTCTCCCAGGACCTGCTCTGGCTCCATCTTCACGTTCTTCGAGTCTAACCAAAGGAATAGCACAGACGTAACTGCTGATAGTAGCCTTTCATTATTTTGATAATCCATAACACCCTGTGCTTACCATATGGCAGGCAATCGATGTGCTGCTGAACAGAAAACCATAGTGTCGGTTTGTTTCCTGAATATGGAGCTTGTGCAAGGATTTTAGATTTATTTCATACAAATTTCTCATCTGCAAAAGCCTCAAAAACTGTTTGCTGGAGTGAAGAAGGTTGTAGTTGTGTCTGAACTTCTGGCCTTGTTTTTCTGTGTGTGTGTAATTGTGTGTTTATGTATGTATGTGTTAACCCTATGGCAAAATTGGGTGGATCGTGCAGTACACAGCTGCCTATGTGGGTGTAGACAAAGCTAGGCACAGTTGGCATGCCCTGGTGCCAGACAGCTTCCTCAACACCACCCTCCTCCTCCTCCTCGACCCTGCTCTCACATAGAGCCTATCCAAACCAATGTGCTCCCCACTGTGCGCGCACACCCACACCCACGTCAACATAGCACATGCTCCAAAAAAAATCAATTCAAGTTAGTGTAACCCTTCTATTCACTAACCACAGTCTAAACACACACACACGTCTCTCAGCAAGCTGTGGTGACAAGACTCAGCTGTCTTCAGCTCTGGGCATGTCACATGCTAATGTATTCACCCACCCACAGCAACTGGAGAAGCAGTGCTCTTAAGTAGAGTCCAATCAGTCTCTGGCCTGCTAATGGCCCCAATCCAGTTTCTAACTTTTTCCTCTCTCTTCAATTGCCATGTGGTCGAATGTCCGTCAAAGCGGACAACAATATAGTTTGAGGCAGAAATATTTCAGTGTCATTATCTCAACAGTAGAAATTAATTGACTTAGTAACCCCTTGCAAGCCATTGTTTCCAAGTGTAATTTGGTTTAATTTTTCAAATATATCTTCTGTGACATTTTATGTGCACCTCACAATTTCAAAACTACATCAGTGACTAAATAACAAACAAAGAGGAATTTCAGTGAAGAATTTTTAATTAGTACATTTACTTTTTCTTAAAAATCTAATCTATATTCAGCATTAGGAAGGCCAATGACAACCTAAGACAAAAGAAGCAACAAAACATAAGCAGTGGACATACCTCAACATATCACAGATGACAGTGCTTTAATGGAAAAGGCAGGGAAGTAAAGAAATCTATATAAAGTTATAAAAAAGAAGCAAATCCATAACTGAAGAGAGATTTCAATGTAAATATACCCAGTGTAATTATAGATTGTCAAATCTTGCATAAGCATGTGCTGAAACAAGAAATATACATTCAGTGTCTTTGCGGAACCAGAGACCTTTGGCTATTGTAGGGTTTTGAAGCAGCATTTAGCTCCTGTCCTTAGGTGCCAGTGCAAATGGAGGTCAGTATATCTGAATGTCCTCACTCTGCAGCCACAGTCCGGGTGGAAAATGCAACCAATTTAGCTGTGATACCACTCTGGATCAATATGGCTCTATCCCCAGCAGGACCAGGAGGCCAATTGGACCACTGGCCTGAGAGGTCCTTAAACAAAGTGGGACAGCAAATAAAGAAGGCACAGTCTCGACTGACCCAAGAGCATGAGAAGAGGAGGAGAGACAGGAGAGGAACAGGAGAGGAGAAAAGGCATTAGGAACCATTAGGGCACAAGACCAAAGGATAGGACAGGAGAGGAGGCGAGATGAAAGAGATGAGAAGAGAGGAAATAAGACGAGACAAGGCGAGAGGAGAGAAGAAGAAAAGACAAGATTAGATGAGAGAGGACAGAAGACCAGACAGGTAAAAAGGTAAGGCAAGAGGAGATGTGTGAGGAAAGGAAACAAGGCAAAAGTAGAAGAGACTTCAGGACACAAGGTGAGAAGAGAGGAGACATGAAGAAACTAGGGCAGAAGAGCAGGGACAAGGCCACAGGAGAGGAGCTTTAAAAACAGCACTGGTACATCTTTGTACCAGTTAACTAAAGAATCTTGAGATATGATTTCAAAGACATACCGACTGATACATCTGATACTTTATGCAATAGACAGGACAAAATATTTTGTGATTGCATAGCCTCGACTGTTTGACTGTTGGAAGAGAGGTATGTCCGCTGAAAAGAGAGAACCAAAAGCACATTCAGAACATGCTTAAATCAGACACACAATGGAAGATATCTACAATAACAGTATAACAGTGGAATAATGATGCTGCTCTGAGCATTTGAGTCCAAAACGCAAGAAAATACCAAAGCTGATTATGTATCCAGATGAAAAACATTGGTCTTACAAACAAAAAAAAAAGAAGAGCTTCCTAGTATTAACTCTCATATTCATTACATTTTCCCCTCATTGTTACACATGTAAATAGAAGACAAATGTGCCTTTTTATACAGAATTTAGAAATTCACAAAATAAATAAACTCACTGTGGCCTTAAAATTGAATCTTAATTGTATATTATATGTATATATAGATTCATATATATCCATTACATATAAACAGAGTTTCAACCTTGAAGCCTCTGAAGCAGAAGCTGATAAAATCTGTTTTATACGGTGTATTCTTTCTCCTCATTTGTGCCTTCTTATCTTGTTGTGCCTCGAGTTTGCATCTCTATACAAACAGTTTTGATGTTGGACTGTCCTTGGTGGCCAGAAAATGCCCATTTCCATAGTAACACAGAGGTTTAAGGCCAGGAGTAATGCATACATTTTATTTTTTGTTTATATGAAAATAAATGAGTAATTAGTTCTTAAAAGTCTGAAAGTCTGAAAAGCTATTTCGTCCAGCTTTCATCTTTTTCCCAGAAGTTTCCAAGAAAGAGTCTTGAGCTGTTTGAACTTCTTGTAAGGCACTCTTCAATTAAACTCTGAGATGTGTTCTGTCACTGGCCTGGACACTGTGACACGGCATCCATCCCTCATCCATGGGAACAGAAACTTCAAACACACATACACTCTACATGCTCTCAGAAGCCTGGTTTCATTGCACCCTTTGGCATCAGTCCCCAGTTTTGGTATGCTGCATTCTCTTTAAACATAGTCCTGTCCAATGAGATGTAAGGTAAGAAAATTACTAACTGGCACATTTGGTAGATAGGATCCCTGGTTCACCCAATGGCTGTTCTCCTAGAGGGGAAGGTGTTTTTGTGTGCATATCTTTTTTTTGTGTCTTTGTTTAAATGTATCTGTGTCAGTGTGTGCTGGGGTTCATGTCTTAATCCCAAATCTGACAAGTGAATTCTTAGAAAAAACTCAACACTCTGCTGATTTTTTTAAAATTAGGCACATGGTCACAAAATATGTAAGTAAACAATACATCCTGAGGCTGAACTGACCAATATTTAAAAGCAACATACTGCAAGATCCCTCACTTCTGATCTTCGATCAGATCACTGTGGTAGGAAAACATCAAGTCTGTGATCAATGATTTAATTGTGGGGGGGGGGGTTTAAGCGCTTGTGTGAAAGAGTCCTGCAGCCCTAAGCCTCTGCAGGCTCTGCCTTTATCTGGATAAAGTTTGCAGGCAGTTGGACAGACAGTGGCAGCTCCTGCAAGCCTTTTATTCCCTGCTCAGGCTGCAGGGACATCTCCCCACGTACCTCCAGCTCCTCCACAGGGGTCAGGCCCTCACTTGGGCTGCTGCTCTGTGAGGAATGTCCATTAATTATAGTTTCACTTGCCAGGCCCTGGCTTTGGCTGGTATCAATGATCACAGTCCTATACTGCAGCTCTGCCTCCCCTACCTCCATCTCTTCTTTCTCAAATGTATGTACAGCCAGCGACAGATCGCTGTTCACCATTGACTGGAAGTAGCTGGGGTCCAGCAACTCTTCTTTGACCTGCAGCCCAGAGATGTCACTGGATTTGAGCACAGTGGCAATTACAGTGCCAGGCTGCTGTGCCACCATGGTCTGCCCAGAGGTGGTGTTGATGGCAACCAGGCGGGGGAGACTGTTGAGGTTGGAAGCAGTAGAACTAATGACCCCTGGAGGGGAAGAGCAGGAGGAGGTGGAGGAGGAGGAGACAGAAGAGGCGCTCAGATTGGTGACCATGAGCTGTTGCGGGAGGCCATCCTGCAGGCTGTGGGCTCCACTTGCTAGAGAGACCGTCTGGATAGTGAGCACATCTTTACCACCTGCTGTGGTAGATGGCATGGTGTGAAGAATAACTCGAGGAGGGGAGGAGTGGCTAGAGTCCCCATTGGCCAGAACAGTCTTGAGGGGGACCGACTGAAGAGAGTTGGAAGATGTCAGGGCCATAGGAACCGATGCAGGAGCAGCAATGGTCCTGAAAAGGCAAAATGAACTGCATATATACTTGTGTTTCTTCATCTTCTCTGACATGGCTTTTGTATATGAATACTTAGTTTGTGTCTTCAAAATATAGACAAGGACTATTTTTAACAGAGCCCTGTTGTGAAAGTTACCCAGTGCACCGCTATGATCCGAAAGAGCAGAACTAATGCCATTATTAATACAACAAACAGCGTCAACAGCTGTACTGCAGGAATCATTATTCTATTTGGCTCCTAGTTTGGACTATGTTTAACAGCTTGAAAAAAAAAAAAAGGCTGATAATACACACAAATAATCAAATGTAAAGCAAATCTGTACAACAACACAAGCCACAAACTAAAAATAAAAATAAAAAAATTGGTGAAACACCTTTCTGACATCAACAAAAAACACATTATTAGACTTTTTGCAAAAGCAGTGTTTACTGCAGAACTACAGAATTACATTGGATTATATTTTTAAGGCTTTGCTGTTTTTCCGCATCTAGACAGATTTCAGGATGGAACTGGATTCCCTTACAACGTGCAGTCAACAAATGATTATCAAGTAGTGAGTCAGTCATATGCAGAAATGAAAGGCAAGTGCATTTCTCTACTTGTGTGTATAAGTAACGTATTGATTATGATTTTTCATTAAGACAAAAAGTTTGACATTTTTGGAAATATGTTTATTTGCTTTCTTGCTGAGAGTAAGATTAAAAAACCACTCATGTCTCCATGTTCAGTATAAGTAAGGCTACAGCCAGCATCCAGTTAGCCTAGCTTAGCATACAGTCTAAAAACTGGGGGTAACACCTAGCCTGACTGTCAAAACAGAATCTGCATACCAGCAGCTCTACAGTTCACCAATTAACACGTTATATCTTGTTCATTTAATATGTATGAAAACTGAAGGGTAAAAACAACATGGGCATGGTAAGCTAACTGGCTGCTAGCTGTAGCTTCATACACAACATACAGACATGACAGTGGTATTAGTCTTCTTGTGTAACTGTACAGGAAAGTAAACAAATGTATTTTGTAAAATGCCAATCAGTCATTTAAGTGAGTTTGTTTTCATAAAACTGTCATAAAGCTATATTCTGAGCGGGACATTTTACAATTGAAACTTCTGTGTTTTGGTGAATAAATCTGTCATTTAGGAACACATCTCAAACATATCCTTGACCTTTTGTGTTACTTATCTACTTAACTCAAACAAAAATTAAGTGAAAATCTTCTTCGTTTAGCTGATAACCCCATTCAAAAGACTCTGGCACTTTTAACAGTGTGCATTACTTCAATAAAATGTGTGTTCTTCTTACCTCATAGCTTGTGCGTGCTCGTGAACACCTAACCCTTGGGAGGCTTGCAATACATGAAGAGAATGAAGGAACTGCTCAGGGTGTCCGCCGTTAACTTCCTGGTACGAACATTCATCATTTGGCTCCTTCTTCATCTGTTTCACTGAGACATGGTGTTGACCATGGGCCCTCCCTTGCCCTTTGGACCCTCCGCGAGCCATAGAGCGTCCATTGGTAGATCTCTGGTTCTCGTAGCCTGCACTGGCATCAGAGCCCGTCTCTTCATCCTCGATCACCACCAGATCTGGTGGCATCTCCTTGAACTGGTAAACCAGCCGCTGCCCCTCCACTTTAGCCAGAATGCCTCTCTGATAGTAGTACCTAGAGGAAAGAATCAATAAGGAGCTGTTTAACACATCATAGAAATTGCCATCTCTCAAATTTGTCAAAACCGTCATTCCAGGGTGTTAACATGTCTGGGGATAATGTCTGCAGGGATAAATGGGAGCTAATGTGCATGACCACACTTTGGAAAATGGTGCTCAGCTGAATGTTCTTCTCACCTGAGAGCTCTTCCCATGGTCTCATAGTTCATGTCAGGTTTGTTCTTGTGTTTGCCCCACAGCTTTGAAACAGCTTTGGAGTCTACTAGCTTAAAGATGCCTTTCTCCCGCTGTGTCCACTTGATGTATTTGGGACAGGTGTTTTTATCCTGCAGTAAAGCCAGAAGGAATTCCCACAGGTAGATGGTGTTGCCTACAAATTGGGAAGGAATAAATTGTCATGGTTTTTTTTTTTTACATTGAAGAACATCAGACATTTATGGTGAGGCCTGAGAGCTGTGCTACATACATCTATAATTTGTCTAGCAACTTTTAGACTTAAAAATGTTATATGGCAGCTATGGGGTTAGAGGAGCAACTATACTTTTCTTATAACCATTGTTGTGTCAGGTGTGTGTGTGTGTGTGCCTTGAAAGGGAATGGATTATAGCAAGCCTGGGAGTAGATAACTCTAATTTGTGAGATGCCATGGTTAAAAACAGCCATGCTCCCTGTAGTCACTTGAATCCCAGACACCATGACAGGGTGATGTATATGTGTGCAGCTGAACGTGCCGTCCCTAGCCCACTCTTCTTTGTGTCACACTGTACGGTGCAATAAGGGCTCACATCAAGCACAACTACTCTGCCTCTATCTGTAGGGCATCAATGTGCCCTCCAGCCTGCAATCACTTCTTTTACCCTGTGAAACACAGCACTGAAATCTCCTCATCCATTAACTCACTCAGATACAATCCCGCAGGATTGCAGAGGTTGAAGACTGCGTACTCCACAGGAGGAAACAGAGCGTACACAAAGGGAGGAGAGACCTTGATTTTTATTGGCTTATCACAGAAAAGCACACTAGGTAGTGAGGCTCACCTTTGCCCTCTTTGCTCTTCTTCCTGAGTGGCAGGTTAGGGCTGCTGATAGGGGAGCAGGGACGTACCGCCCGCGGCTTCCGCACTATGATTCAATTTGTGGGGTAGAATGTTAGTTGGAAATTTAGACTGGACTCATCCAATTAGCTACAATATGAAATTTGAAATCATATGAAGAGATTTTTCTTGTGTTCTCACAAGGAGGAAGAGGGAAAACTGTTACCTTTGGTTTTTTTCTGAGGTTTTAAAGGACACTTTTGGGGAATCTCATCCATGGATGAAGTGTCTTCGTCTAGGGACACATCAAGGGTACTGTTGTCTATCGGATCAGGCCTCAGTGGGGTGTATATCAGGTCTGAGTCCAGCAGTGTGCCGTACGTGTTAACTAAACATGCACAAGAAATGTAGAAACACAGACAAACCATAAATAGACCATACACATTTGTCTCATAATCCAAACATGATTACTGTTGGATCAAAACTTAATTATTTTGCACCGTTTTTTTTCAATAGTGCAAATAAACTTACTCATACGCTTCTCATCCAAAATGTTATTTGGGGACTCCATGTTAAGAAGAGCTGCTGCAGCTGCGTTCGTCTCCATGCTGTCCTCTGCACCTGAGACTGTTGTTTCTGTGCGCAAGACAAACCAGAGACCAAATGTGCAAACTGTGATTTCCTTATTTTGTGTGGTGTAAACCGTTGTGACAATGTACTGCATGCGCACCAAACTAAGCAATTCCCTTTAGTTGTTAATGAAGTACACCATCTTTACCTGAGAGGTCCACTCCTCCCACTTCGATGGGTGATTCCTCCACCACATGAAGGGTGGTGTCCACCATGATGCCGTTGGTCACCTCATCGGACTCCAGGCCTGAGTAGACTTGCAGCAGATCAGTTGCAGGCACCTGCTCAACAATCACAGCTGGGAATACTGATGGGTCATCCAGCTGAACAGAAAGAGGAGACACACACATACAAAGAAAAATATGAGTTGATGTAAGAAAATACAGAATCTTTGAACATATGTATGTGTATATATAATAAAAACACTTAATTCCTACACTATAAATGCAATACGAAAACCCCAGATGACATCAGATTAATGTTAGAACCCCATCTGGTCTCTTATTTTTATTGCCTTGTAAAATATTGCAAATTCATACTCAATTTCAGCTAATGTGTAGGCACATGGCATATCGGAGAGCTCATTTCTATGGTGTTGCAGCAGTCCGCGGGGACCTGCTGTGGTAGACAGGAAGCAGCTGTTTGATTTGGCCTACTTCTCCTGAGAAGTTAATCTTTAATATAAGTCCAAATGAATGTTATGAATCGAGGAGTCATGAATTGCAGGCAAGTACCCTCTTCATCATGCCCTAAATGTGCTTTGGGAATTCTAACCTTGCCATCTCATTTCAGGCAAGGCACAGCCTGATGTGAGGAGTGAGGGGACAGAGAGAATTACCAAAGTTTGGACCAAACCACTCAAGAATGACTTTGAAGCCCATCATACCCGAGAGCTCCTCAAACAGAGACCTTGTCCCGAGTGCTCACTGGGGGCTTGGTTCATGTCAGTGTGAGGGACAAGGGGACTAACGCAGTCAGTGAGTCATATGGTCCTCTGAAATGTTTATTTTGATGTCTTTTTCTGTTTCTAGTAGATGTGACCTTGGTCAATTTGCTTAATTCAAAATAGTATGGAAAACAACATGAGAAGCAGACACAGATCTGGTTCTAAACTAAAATGCAATTAACATGTAACCATGACTTCTGTAAATGATCTTTTATGTCTTAATTCATTATTTAAATGTTTTAAATTGAGAGGTCACCTCAGGTATTTTGATGTAAAACCACTCAGTCAACTAACTACCAGGAGATGGCAGCAGACTACACTTGAAAATGTACTGAAATCATTTCTTTTATCATGTCAGTGCCAAGCAGCTAATGTGTCTGGTTTGGCTGTTTGAAGAACAGCTCCTAAATGCATTATGTGTCCCAAGCACACCAAAACATTTCTGATAAATTATATTAACAGTACTGATTTCCCCACCATGGCTGGAAGCAGCACAACCCATCTTTAGAAAATATTTTATGAAGACAAAGGAAGAGTAAAATTTGGGTCAAATGTGTGTCCAAGCCAAAACTGAATGAATGCATAACTGGACAAACAATGATTTAAGACCACATTCTTACTGTCATGACCTGATTGAAGGGGGAAGAGGGCAGACAAAAAGGTGCAGTAAGAGGAATATGAATACAGGCATATAATTGTCTCTTTGCACAAGTGTTCATTGTTGGTTTGGACCTCAGGGGCATACCAGGTGTCTGGGCCTTGAGCTGTGGGGGTGGGAATTTCAGCTACACTTTAACCAGGAACTAACAGACTGGCTCATTTTTAAATGGGTAGGCCTCCTAAGCAGTACTAGCAGTAATTACCCAAGGATTGTTTATTTAATGTCCATAAAATAGGTGTCTGAGAGTCTAGAGCAAGATGGCTCCACGAGACGGCTATCTTAACTTTGAAGATCAGCAACAAACAGCTTGTGTCATCTCAGCAGAAACACCACAAGGCCTCTTGGGGCTAATAAAAATCCTGGGTTTTGTTTTGACTACAGGTGCTATCAGTGTCTCACTGACATACAATGTATGTTTCCCATTAATCAGTCTTTGGTAGACATATTATCAGATAGCTAGACCGCTGGTCCTCATCTTGGCTTAAATGACGTTTGCTGTCCTTGAGTGAGAGTCAAGTGTAAGTGTGTGTGTGTGTGTGTGTGTGTGTGTGTGTGTGTAGACAAGGGCATTTTGACTACTGGTCTACTGAGCTCTTGAAACAGCAGCACCTCCCTCACCCTCCCCCCCTCCCGCCAAATGCATAAGCCTGAGTCCTACAGTTTGCTGACAGAGCGTGAGACATCTGAAGCTGCCGTCTCCTGTTTTGTTTTGATATTAACTGGGTTCTGTTTTTGCTGGGAACACTGTCAACTAGTTCTGTATTGTCATGTAAACTAAACGGTGATTTGACAATTTGAAAAGCATGTTGCAATGCACAAGATAACAACCATGGAGGGGAGAAACTGTTGTCTAAAGGTGGGGCTCTCTGGAGCCCTGACGCCCAGCATGTAACGCAATCTGACAAATAATAAAAAATATCATAAAAGTTTGAACTGCTTCCTCCTATTTGTTGACTCAAAAAGTGTTTCTAACAGGGAAACAGGAGCGATATGAATCGGCTGATTTGCATTTCTGAGTTCCCCATTTGGTCTTTGAATGCAACAGCATCTGTGCAGGCTGCCCCCACCCCACACCCCACTCTCTTCTGCTTTACCTGCCCAGCCACAATGGAGTCCAACTGTCTGAACACTTTCAATATCCTCATAATAACGACAGTGTAAAAAGTGGGTCTGCCTATATCAGGATTAAATATTTGGTTGTACCTTTGTCCCCATTTGAAAATGTTGAAACGTTACACCTTTTCTTATTTCAAATTAAGAGAACACTTTTTACTAGCTAAAAAAAGCTGGATCAGAGCACGATTATGTAGAAAAAATGGATCTTCATTCATTACGTGACAGAGTATCCATTTACTGAGTTAAAAACCAATATAGCAAGTCCACTCATTACAGACCTTACTCTATGATTTCACTCCACTCCAACAGCTTTACTACTACTTTATAACAGCCAGCAGAAACAAAATGGCTACTGCAGTAGTATGTTTTTTTGGAGACATTTCCAGAATTTAGTAAATTAGGGCATAGTGTTTGCACAAAGGACTGAGAGGGTGCAGCAAGGAAAAACACTGTAACTCTGGAACAATGCAATACCTTTCAGTTGAATTATCCCATGCCTTCCTAGAAGCCTTGTAACTGGTCTGTCAGGTTAGGCCTGTACTGGTGCTATTCAGGGATCAAGTGACAACATGTCACTGTAGATACACACATACAGATACCCGTACACATTAACACATACATCCTCACTTACAATCAAGCCTGCTCCACAGGATTCAGACATGGGTGTAGGGGTGAGATAACTGCACACCTGACCAGGCAATGAAAAGACACATAGGCACAGGTTGACATCATACGCACACATAGTAACCTTTGTGCCTTAAACACATTCATGGCCAAGCCCCACCCCTTCCCTCCCACGCACCCTAACGTCACTGCAGGTTTTTCAATCTTTCCATTTCTGTGCTCCCAGCAGCCCACACTCCTCTTCCCAGACCTCCTCTCTGCTCCATCCTCCCTTCTGCCTGCCTTGTTCCCCAATTTGCTCTCAGAGTTAAAAGATCACAGCCCCCGTGACCGTGCTGTTTACATAAGTTTTGTTTGTTCTGCTATTAAAAAAAGTTTTACATCTAGCAACAAGATCAGTTATAATACATCTGGTTAAAAACACTGGTTAAAAACACTGGCCCCAAGGTTTTGTGATCAAATAGGAAATGTTGACTACAAGTCCAGTTAGGCATAAAAGCAACAAACAATCTGATTTAAAAAAAAAAAATAAAAAAAAAAAGGGTTAAATTGTTGCACAAATACCTGATTGATTTCATCCATCCCATTGCTGGCAAATTCAAACACCAGTTCCCCAGACTGTACTGCAGTCGTCATGGCGGTGGATGTCATAGGGCAGGGAGCAGCCTAAAATATCCCAGCTATGATTCTGGCTCCTTCTCTGCACAGACAGAGACTTAGCTTCACCTCACAAAATGGCTTCCCCGGTACTGTCCTCCTGTTCCCTACTCTGGGCGGCTAGTGGTCCAAGAGAGAGACCACAATCTGAGTTTCAGAGGAGTGCTGTGGCCCAGGTGGGAGCAGCCTCGTCCCTCTCTGACACGGAGGCTGTGTCCCGCTGTGCCTGGAGCATCTACACCTGAGAGAGAGAGAGAGAGAGAGGAGTTGAGGTCAACAGACAGATCAGTTTAATTTCACTAACAGACAAGATAGGCAGGGTGGAGCAGAGGTAGTGCATAGAACCTAAAAACTCACCATCAAATCTACACATTTTCAGACAGGATATACGTCCATATCAAGGCTTTGATCACTGGCTGATTCCTGCCTCCCTTCCTGACAACCCTCTAATAAACTCAAAGCAAGTCAAGACCAAGTCACAAAATTCATGTGCTTGGCAAAAACAATAGCTTGCAGCAAGTTTTTGGCTCAGTGACAAAGTTGTTGTATTCTTGCAAGTACAAGGTAAATTTTAGGTAAAAGTAAATTTTATTCTGTATAGAGCCATTTATGATAAATGCCTCTCTTCTTTCAAACATCCATTTTGGCGTGCGAAGCTTAAAAGTTGAAACTATAGATATGGAAAGTGATGCTACTAACTGATCTTCTTGATTAGCTATCATTTCATTTCAATGTCAATGTTCTCAATTAAATTAAACACATAAGATGAAGACAAATCATCTTCCAACACTTCTCAAATTCATTTCACTCTAAACCAAGATGCACAGCAATTTTTGTTTAATTGCTGATGACTCTCATTTCATAACTGTCTCTGAAAGCAAGACACTCCTCCACACCACCCTAGATCATTAGGCTCAGAGGACTGATATTATGATCACATCACACACACACACAGGCGAGAGATCATTCGACTGCACTGTAAGCCCCACTGTGCTGACCCTCAGGGAGTTACTATGATCACAGGCAGCGGGGGGAGGGAAACTCGAGGCCGTGTGGTTGTTGGTATCTGTGTGTTGAGGTGTGTCCCAACAACCCAATACCCAAAGTCAGGTTTCGAGGCTGCGAGAGGGGAGGGGATTAGATGGTGGGGTGTAGAATAAATGAAAAAGGAGACCCTGGAGCCTTGTACCCCCACCCCTCTTCTTTCCTGGAGACCAAAAAGCTGGCAGGAGTATAGAAGTTAGAGATAGCGACATTTAGCACCCCTCACCACCAACACACATACAAACACCACTCCCTGTTTTTACCATTGCTGCAAGGTGGAGCTTCTTTGCTTTGAAATGCCTGTGTGACTGATTGTTGCACACCAGGTCCAGCTACATTTCAAACTAGGGGGCTAGCAGGAGAGGAGTGATAGCAAATGATTGAACTTTTTGTGGAGCACAAGGGCCAAACAAATTTTATAGGCTAGTTTGTCTTGTTTGTCTGCTAAGCTTCCACACAAAGCAGTAACATGTGGCTGTGGTCTGGAAAACAGCACTTTGGGAGACAGAAGAGAGACCCTGGAAACAAAATCTGAATTCTAGTTTATCAGCCCAGTCAGTTCCTCTGCTGAGCAGCATCCATGCCCACCTCTGCCAGAGATGGATGCTGCTGCCGCCTGTCTGAAGCTATTCAGTGCCCAGGTCTTTTTGACATATTTGCACCAGGGGAGTGTGACAGGCTATTAACAGACTCAAACTGAAGAGAGGGGATACACTGTATGGGGCTACCGAATGGAGGAACATGTATAAATCGCATAAAAGATAAACAAAAGAAAAAATTTAAGGGTTTTCTACTTGCAGTTTCACATGAATTGCATGCACACACACACACACATACACAGCAGATGCCCTCTTGTTCCCTCTGTGAAGCCAAACCAAGACACCCCATGGGGGAGGAGGTAGACATTCAGCAGTCTGTATCATGTGAGATCATTCTGAAATTGTCCTTCCTGGTCTCGCTGCCTCATCCAAGAGACACAAGAGACACTAATGCGAAATCAACAGGCATTCTCTGCAAAAGAGAATCTTGGTTCCCTGTTTGAGTGGTTAAGATCTGTGCTTATAGACATTTACGAAGCTGTTGTTGCGAACACTCCAGCTTATTCGGCGCTGTCAGTTAAGAACAAACACATAATGGGCATCCAGTCACTAATGGGTTATCAGATGACAGGAACCAGACTGTTATTAAATCATATCAGATTATTCTCCTCTCCCATGTTTTGCATTTGTCTCTCTGATTACATGTGTCTGTGTGTGTGTGTTGTCTGCTGTAATCACACTACAATGTATGAGACTGCATTTTCTAAGAACCCTCTTGTCAGCGCCTCATTGATCTGGGTGGCCCAGTTGGCGTGGTGCTAACAGCAGGCAGGGATATAAGGGAACAAGCCATTTTTGAGATGCAGCCTGCTCATGACAACAGTTGCCTTGTCCCAGCATAGGGGCAGGGCTGTAAGTATACTTACTACGTCATGAAGAGGACAAGAGGAGGAGAACAGCGAAGGGAGGGATTTTACTGGGATGTTAGTTAATGCATTATAGCGTACAGAGCAAACAGACTGCCTGTGACTCGGAGTGGTGCTTCCTGGTGAGGTCTCCTGCTCGACATGTGTAACTGCAGTGTTCTGTATTTATATCCAACAGAAGACGTGCTAACACATCTACAAGTCACCCCCCTCCCTCTCTTTGTAATTCCGGTTGGTCTCTGCTCTTAAATCACACGATGAAGACAAAATGCAATTTAAAAAAAAAAAAAAAAACACAATCTGAAAATTAAGTGATACACAGAAAACTACATAGAAATTATTCTAATAATGTAATAATACATTTAACTTCATAGATCTTTTTGGCCAATTCAGGGCAATAAACACAACATTGAGATATTATTTCCTCATAATATTATGACAAAAAAGCCGTCTCTTATTAAACTAAACCAATTTTAGCTTAACTTTTAATACAAAGAACTGCAAACATGTAATAGGTATTTGTTCCTAATGCACCCTCTTTCCATTCTGCAGCCAGCTAATAATAATATCATTTTCACAAATTTCCAAAAATATCAAGAAATAGACAAAGACCATCAATGCCCAGGATGTCATTCAAACAGCTTGTTTTGTGTGACCAACAGTTCAAAACCAAGCAGGATCAAGTTGACAATCAGTAGAATAGGAAAGCATTTACATGTTGACATTTAGAAGGTGGAACAATGAGTTTTTTTTAGCATGTTTGTTCAAAATGATTATTTGATTATCAAAATTGTTGCTGATTCGGATCGATTTTCTGCCCATGAGCGAATAATTAGCATATTAACAATTAGCCGCTAATTGTTAATATGCTAATTAATATGCAGCTTTAAAATGAGTAGGTCACAGTACAGGTATGACTATCATGGCTCTTGTCGTGTGCTGCTGCTGGTGTCTTTTATTTAAATCAGTCTCCTCTCCTCGAGCAATTACGACTGTGTGTTGTATATGGCAACCTGGTGTGCAGCAGACTGAGGAGGAATATGAAGCAAACACTGGCCTACTCCACCCCTACAGCACAGTGACTGCCAGCCGCAATAACAACCAATTAGAGTCAGGATTCATGAACAAATGGAGCATTCCCAGAAGGCTCTACTTCCCCTGCTTTAGATTCTTCAGCTGAGCTCATTGTTGACCATGAAAGGATGTAATTTAAGCCAATTGAATGACTATGTAATGAACCTCACCCTGTATGTGGCAAGCGCAACCATTATGAGACACAAGGAAAAGTCCAGGGCAAACTTTACTTATCAGCCATTTTCAGCTCAGGTTACAACAACAAAAAAAAAAAAGCAGATTTACATAGGTGACATGATTGTTGAGCAGTGCACTGGGAGGTTACAATACAAAGGTCACAGGACTCATAGATGGCTGATGACATCAGAGACCATGTGGTATTCTAGGTATTTCAAATCTTTTTCCACACAGATACAGTCAGCGCAGATATTCTTTGAGAAAACTGAAGTAAACGAAGAGGCTCGCCATACTGGTGAAACTCCTGCAAAGGTTTCAAAACTGACAGAGGCAGGGATTTTGCCCTTCTTCATGCAGTGCCGAGAGACACATTTAGGTACTAACACATGAGAAACCTTCGACTTAAATTATCCTACAAAAAGTTTAGTTTTCCCAGTTCAGCTGTGCACAGAAACACTGAGGTGCAGGATGGCAGAAAATGTGTGCTTACCACTGCCATGTTATTGAATTGTTGTCAGCACAGACATGCTGTTTTTGAAGTATCCTCTTGGCTCCTGTAAAGGAAATGACTGAGTGATAGGAGGCTCAAGCCCATTTCTGGAGCTGTATGATAGCCGTATGAGCATCAGAGGATCCTGGTCATTATTTCTGGACAGTAGTTCCCTTTATGGCATGTTTAACCCAGATGTCAATTAACTACACACCAGTATGTAACAATAGCACTTTTAGTGCAAAGGAAAATTGCTCAAATGCAAGCATTTTGGCTAAGGTCAGAGAAAGAAAAATACATAATGTACTGTATATACATTCTAGATTTCAAAATAGCACAAAAAATGCAGGCAGTTTTAATCCAATTAAAGAAGCAGAGAAGGTAACAGTGCTGGAAAAGTGTTTACTAATTCAACAGAATAAGAAGACAGTAATTAAAGAGTTGCATCAACACTAGACAAAACCACACAGAGGTGGTTGTCACCACTGCTACAGCACTGTGTCAGCACCATAAAACTGTTTCGTATACAGTATTTTCTGTGCATTCTAAATTTTTCTCACTACCCAGCAATGCACAGTACAGGAACTCACTATGAGCTCCGGATGAACTTTACTGAGCCAAATAAAGGAGTGCTTTCACTGCAATCCTGGGGCCACACCGCACATGTGGCGATAAAACAGCAGAAGTGGGCACAAAGGCAGGCACAGGCTGGCTAATCGCATGACGCTACAGAACACAAGACATTAGAAACGCAGACAAGAGGGGACTGCGTCAGAGCCAGCAGTCAGTTGTGTTTGTCTTAAACAAGGAGGCGTTTGGCTCTGTGGTGCCAGGGCCTAACCCAGACTGACAGAAAAATGTCACTTCAAACACCGGCTTTCAGAAGGAGAATGGAGTTTAATCTCATCTCCTGAAAAACTTGTATTTTTCCACTCAGGCTTGAGGCTCTGAGACAGGGACCCATGTCTTCCTGTGACAACCGTTGTTTGTG